CTACTTCTCTTCCCTCTCCTCCTCCTCCCTCTCCTCCTCCTTCTCCTCCTTCTCCTCCTCCTTCTCCTCCTCCTCCTTCTTCTCCTCCTCCTCCTTCTTCTCCTCCTCCTTCTTCTCCTTCTCCTCCTCCTTCTCCTCCTCCTCCTCCTCCTTCTCTTCCTCTTCCTTCTTCTCCTCTTCCTTCTTCTCCTCTTCCTTCTTCTCCTCTTCCTTCTTCTCCTCTTCCTTCTTCTCCTCTTCCTTCTTCTCCTCTTCCTTCTTCTCCTCTTCCTTCTTCTCCTCTTCCTTCTTCTCCTCTTCCTTCTTCTCCTCTTCCTTCTTCTCCTCTTCCTTCTTCTCCTCTTCCTTCTTCTCCTCTTCCTTCTTCTCCTCTTCCTTCTTCTCCTTCTCCGTCTTCTCCTTCTCTGTCTTCTCCTTCTCTGTCTTCTCCTTCTCTGTCTTCTCCTTCTCTGTCTTCTCCTTCTCCGTCTTCTCCTTCTCCTCCTCCTCCTTTTCCTCCTTCTCCTCCTCCTTCTCCTCCTCCTCCTCCTTCTCCTCCTCCTTTTCCTTCTCCTCCTTCTCCCTTTCCTCCTCCTTCTCCTCCTCCTCCTCCTCCACACAAACGTACACGAACAGGCCCACACAAACAATCACCAACGAGCCCATACAGAGGTACACCAACGGACCCACACAAAAGTACACAAACGGGCCCACACAAACGTACACAAAAGGGCCCACACAAATGGGCCCACACAAACGTACACCAACAGACCCACACAAATGCACATGAAGGCGCCACACCATTGCACACCAACGGGCCCATGCAAATGCACACGAAGGCGCCACACCATTGCACACCAAACGGGCCCACGCAAATGTACACCAACGGGCCCACACAAATCACACGAGGGCGCCACATCAACGGGCCCACACAAACACCAACTCTCCACACATAAACGATAACACTGGTAGACTACCTACCTTGCCTTGCATGATCATTCGCACCGTGAGGATGGTGGCGCCTGCAGTAATAGTACCATCCTGTTGCACCACCGTACCGCTGCTGTTGTAGTGGTGACTGTGCTGCTGGTGGTGGTGGAGGTTGTTGGGACTGGTGTTGATGCTCGGGCCGTTGCTGGTGACAAGGATGCCCGTCTCGGCCATTTCTGGCAGCTCCTGAAGTGTGGGGTAGGTGAGGTGAGGGGCGCGCAGGGCGCTGTAGTCACAGCTGTGGAAGAGAAATAGCAGGTTTTGAACAGTCTGTCACACAAGTCCCACAGTATTGAAACCTCCCACTCCACTCACACACTTGCTGGGCTGCATTACTATAACGGACATTTATTCGCCGATGAGTTCCTATAAAGGTTACCCTGTACTGATTAAAAACTCACATTGTTTCTCCTCTTTGGTGTATGTAAAAAGTGCGACGGCCATCTTTAAACTGTCATTACAGTGTTAACGTGTTCGTCTGCAATGTGACATCAGGTAATTAACACTCCTGATATCGTTAACAATATGGACATGTTACAAGACAATAACATGGTTATTGTAATTTCTATCACGCTTAAAAGGTTGTTTTAAACCCTCTCTACGAGTATATAGTATATATATATATATATATATATATATATATATATATATATTATATATATATATATATATATATATATATAAGAGTATATATTTAGGACTATAACAGTAAAGCTGTGTGTGTGTGGCTAAGGCGTTGAGAAAGCGGTTCGTTATTCCGAGACACCGCTTTTCGATTCTAGCTGGAGGTGATTGGGCAGTAAACTGCTCTGCGTTAATTCTGACAATGGTGTTGAGAGCCAACCGTCTGGTAGCAATGGCAAACTTCTGACCGCTGAACTGGCACAAAAATCACAAAAAGCCAAACCACGCCGGGGTAAGTTCTGCAACGTCATTTAAAGGATACACAAGGAACAACCCTCACACACTGCTGTAAAACGTGAACTTTAGCACCCGAACTTTACTGGAAGATGGAAGTATTGGAAACGATTTATTTTTCTAAAGATCTTTGATATAACACGCAGACACTATACTACAAATAACGAAGTTTGCCTTGCCACGATCCGGCACATTGGCCAGTTTGAGCCTCTCTTAACAACTGTGAACAGATATATGAGGGGTGGGGGGGGGGGGGGTTTAATTAGTACAAACATGTACATGATCTAACATCTACTAAAGTCGAAATCTCCATTTAGCAACATCAAGATCAAAATATATAAAACGTTAATAAGACCTTTATATGGCTCTGAAACTTGGAGCACAACAAAAAGAGATGAAGACTTGTTACAGGTTTTTAAAAACAAAGTATTACGACAAATCTTTGGACGCATCAAAGATGCCAAAAGCGGGGAATGGAAAGTCAATAGCAACAACGAATGCCATAACATTTTTAAATCACCATTGATCACTGGCATCATGCGATCTAATAGACCGAATCAGCTTAGGCATATTGAGAGAATGTCAGATAAAAGAGAGGAAAAAACTGTATACACAAGGGAGATGAATGGTCGTAGATCACGAGGCAGCCCCTCCCCCCCCTCCCCAAATATAGAGAGATAATGTCCAGGCCGACCTGCAAACACTAGGTGTCACCAACTGGAAAGAGAAGGCCAACCAGACAGATGAATGGAGGCGGGTGATATCTGATGCACTGAACCTCAAGGGCTCAGAACGCTAAGGAAGAAAAAGGTGTAACAGAATCTACTGGCATCTAAAGAACGATACCTCATAACTCTGTAGAGAGGGAGAGGAGAAAAGGCAGACCAAGGAAGATGTGGAAGCAGAATTTGGTTCAATAGCCAGGTTTCAAACAGGATATTTATGCAACACTCACGTTCTAGAACAGGACTGCAGTCCAGAAGTGGATGAACAACCAAAACTTTCCGCCAGAGTTTACAGAGGGTGAACGTGAAGAAAAAGAAGAAATACTATTTTTGTCAAGGCCACTGTTTCTGACCTACTGACTGACTTTCTACCCCACCAGGACATCACACAAGCGATAAACACCCGATGACACAAAGTGCCACCATGCGGATGAGGATCACCGTGGAGAGGTCCCAGAAACCGCGTTCAGACAATTGGCCATATTGATGGCCTGCCTATATTGCGGCCCCTGGCAAAAGCCAGAGTGGGGCTTGAAATAAGAAAAAATTAGGTCCTGAAAAGGACGTAAGTATTTTCTGACCTACCGAGGCTGAGAGAACTGATCAGTTAAAATCAAAGTGTAGCTCTGGTGGACTGGTGTGGCCAAAAGCGCCGGGATCGGTCCTGACTCGTGTGGGAAACGTTCACGGCGTGAGTCAACCAAACCCAGAGCCGGGAGGGGCAGCGGGGGGGGGGGGGGGGGGGAAGCGGGGGGGGGGGGGGGGGGGGGGGGGGGGGGGGGGGGGGGATTAACCTACGGAACTAAACACCCAACAGTTTTATCTTATGTCTTTGAGTTATAGCCCTTTGTTGCTGCACAAATTTTCTGGATAGTAATTGTTATCTTCCCCTGATAGTGCCCAGTCTCTAGCATAGTTGGCTAAACCGGATTGCGCGGTGACCGGGTGACGAACTCCTTGTGGTCCGGGTTCACTCCCGGGGGTGGGCAGAAAAGCCACATTTCTCCCAGATTTACGGTATTTACAATGGAATCAAGGCCGAAAGGTTGCGTTATCCATAATACCGAGCCTAAGGGTTAACAACTCATGGTTTCTGGATACTAAAACAAACAAACTTCCCCCGATGGCCACATACGTGTAAGACATTCTAAGACATTTACTAGCCGGACAGAAATGTTATTAATGTCAGAGATACCTCCGTTAAGTGGTTTTGTGTATTCTGGTAAGCACCTCCGTTAAGTGGTTTTGTGTATTCTGGTAAGCACCTCCGTTAAGTGGTTTTGTGTATTCTGGTAAGCACCTCCGTTAAGTGGTTTTGTGTATTCTGGTAAGCACCTCCGTTAAGTGGTTTTGTGTATTCTGGTAAGCACCTCCGTTAAGTGGTTTTGTGTATTCTGGTAAGCACCTCCGTTAAGTGGTTTTGTGTATTCTGGTAAGCACCTCCGTTAAGTGGTTTTGTGTATTCTGGTAAGCACATGAGGTATTGGAGATTTAAGTATGTACCGATGAGGGCGGTGTTGATTACCACGAGGATGGTGAATGCATGCAAAATAATACACTTCAAGCGGTTAGTGGTGGTTGCGGTGTAATGGTCACCACCAACATCACCATCATGTGTATTGTATTTCAAAAGTCGTCCCCATGTGTGTTGCAATTTGTTTTTAATTTGAGGCCCCACCATGGCTTCTGCCGGGGGCCCTGAATATAGCCGAAACATAACGGCTGGGACTTCTCCACGGGTGATCCTCATCCGCATGGTGGCACTTTTTTTTACCGGGTGTTTATCGCTTGTGTGATATCCTGACGGGGTTCAACCACCTACCTACCTACCATAATGTGGCAGATCCTTAGCAAAACGTCGCTCCCATCACAGCCTGTTTCAAAGAAACGGTCTCCCGCTAGCTCTCCGCCCCGTATACTGTTGAATGTTGAATTGAGAATCGACATCACAACACTCGGGACACTCTCATAAGTGCTCGGTCTCCATATTTAGCAGCGAGCTAAGAGTTCCAATTCCAATGTTACCAGTAACCGTCTGATTGTATATCCGTCTCATCCTTCCCCTGAGTGTTGAGCGTCGGCCAGATCCCCTGGTAACTCCGCGCAGCGCCATTCTCCTCAGACCGTAATGATCTATCTTCCCCGTGAACTTTTCTAAGAAGAGCGTCAGTTGTATTCTGCGCCCATCTTCGTGAGGGCACTCTTTCCTGGTACCACACCTTCTGCTGTTTTTCTTTAAAATCGGCCATGGCGTTTGATAAGGCCAAAATATTTCAGTTTTTGAGACAAGATGCTGTTTACTTGCCAATCTTCCTTGATGATCAGATCTTTCTGGGATGTTAATATTTCTATTCTTGGTCCGTGCTTCAAGTGGTCTATAACAATATTGGTATAGCCCTATATTCCCAAAATGGCCAAAGGCGTGGAAAAGGGACAATTACTTTTACTTTTGGTCCTTAATATTCTCGGAATCTTTCTATATCATTTCAGATGAAAAGATCCTATTTTCATTTCTAATGACTACGAGGGAGTGCACAATTTACATCCGTATATAATAGTGGTTCGCCTAATCATGGCCTTTTTGACTTGTGTGTGTGTGTGTGTGTGTGTGTGGGAAAAGGGGGGGGGGGGGGGGAGGGATAATTTTTGAGCAATTTCAGTAACAAAAACCCAAGTAGAGAAATTAGCACTTCGTCTTCACTTAATTACTTTTAATGCACCGTATCTTTTAAGCATATCATAAATTCTGACCTCTAAGTAACTGAAGGTGCGTGATGAATGAACATTTTAATTTTGTGCTAAACAAATAAATTGCTCTGTCTGTTTTTTTATAGTTTTTTTTCCCCTCCATTTCTCTCTTTGGTCAGATGCTGCTGCTGCTGCTAGTGCTATTGCTACTACTACTGCTACTACTAC